AATAGCCGTGGTTGTGAACACCGTAGTGGAAGTCATAAGCAGTCTGTGATGAGTATAGGTATTGTAATACAAGGGTGAGTTTACCCTTGAGAAATCGTTATTTATTTATTTTTATTTTTTTAATGAATATATTTAAAATTGAAAAAAAAATAATAAAAAAATGGCTTACATGCATGAGTTTCAGCTTTAGTTTGGATCAACTCTCAAACAAATGTGTAACTCTAATTTTTTTTAAACGACAAAACCACCAAGATTAATGCAATTAAACAAAGAAAATAATGTAATAAAATGTAAAAAACCATAAAAATGTATTGGAAGTTTATGATTTATTTTTAAAAAAAAGTGATGGGAATTATGAAAAAATGTCGCCATGATGAATCAACTCAACATTAAGAACGACCCACTTGACCAATGTTTTCATCCATCACTATTTCCTTCATGGAGACAAAACGAGAAACATGACAAAATATGAACAATCACATCAATTCAAAACTCTCACAATTTACTTCCAAAAAACGGAATCTGAAACTAACAATCCCAACTCAAGAGCCAAAAGTAAAGAACCAACAAAAGTAAAAAACTACTTTATCAACAACCACAAAAGACAGAAAAAAGAAAACCAGGATATGAATGTTACATTAAAAGGTATCATGGAGAGGCCAACGGCGGCCACGAGGAATCGACCCCTCATGCTCAAAAAATGCAACATAGAATCACTCGCACCACGCAGCTCGCGTCCAGAGCTCACGAAAAGCAGTATTATTATTTTCGAATGCCTTTTGAATAACTGCGACTCCCGCGTGAGCATCTCGCATTGCCCATGTGTACTGGAAACATATGCACGCACTGCAGGAATGAAGATTCTGAGGAGAATGTGGCTGCGTTGTTATGGAGCATTATTGGGCGCAGTTAAGAATAGTGTGAGAAGATTGGTGAGGATTCGTGATGTCGAGAATAGGGTCGCGTTTCAGGTGCCGGTGGCCCATTGCACCTCGTTGCAACGCAGCGTTCTCGCAGGCTTTCCGAATGCAACACTCAAGTTTCTATTAATGACCAAAGGTAATGTAGGTCTTTTTCCTGAGAAGGCAAAAACAGGATCCAGTGATGCAGAGTGGCACTACGACTTGGGTTGTGATTTGTGAACTGACAGGGAAAGTCATTTGCTGGTCTCGCGGTGAAGGATGAGGCTCCGATGGAATCGTGGTGCGTGAACGGCAGAGATGGTTTTAAATCGAGCTGGATGGGGTCATGCTCAGGTGGTGTGATGTCTTCAACGCCTTGCACGGAAAAAAAGAAATTGAATCTTCGCACGCGTGTCTCTGAGGGCCAAATGCTGTCGCCGATTTCGTAGCCGAACATCCCTCACCAGCTTTTGCTTGGCTGCTTTCGGAAAATATGCAAACGCCGAGAGTTGGATTCCAACTTCTTCGGGAGTGAGGATCTCTGTAGGCTCGTCAACAACTCCTCTCGCACTGCTGCACCACTTGGATATCGCTTTCTCTTGAATGAACGGTATCATCTCGGGGAGTGCGGGGAGAGCTCGAGGTTGCAGCTTGCAATCTGCAGTGGTGGTGGTACACTCGTAGGATGGGTTGGTGTGTTGAGCTCAGTTCACGAAGTCTTCATTGGATTGTGCTGTCAATGTGGGTCATTGGTGCAGCGGGCTTCCCCGCCTCTCTAGTCTGGAGGTGAAGTTTGTTATAGGAGCTAGCTGGGTGCGCAGCAGGAGAGTAGTTCATGGTTTTAGGGGCATTTCTATGGCATTCTACACGCACCCCTGTCCTCACAGAAAACACATGAATTCTGTCTACGTAGCACTTGCAGTAGTGGCCGCTTTGTTTGCTTTATGCCCTCAGGTGGAGGGAGCGCCATTCCCTCCTCCGCAGTTTAGGAACTGTCGAAGCCTGGATGGATGCTGCCCTCCGGTTAACCGGAAACCACCAGTGCCGTTCCAATTGCCGACTAATCTTCCATGGAGGACACGACGGGCGGCGCAGCTCGTGGACGCCGCGTATATTGCAAAATATCATAGAGCGTATGGGCTGATGAGAGCACTCCCCAACTCAGACCCTCGCTCTCTATACGCGCAAGCAAGAATGCACTGCGCGTACTGCGGCGGGGCATTCTACTTTCCCAACAGCGCCTACCCGCTAGAGATTCACGACGGTTGGTTCTTCTTCCCCTGGCACCGCATGTTCCTCTACTTCCATGAGCGAATCCTCGCTAGCCTGATTGGGGACCCGACCTTCACTCTGCCGTTCTGGAATTGGGACAACCAGTCACCGATTGCTCCTCTGGGGAATTTAGTGCCCAGGTACATGAGCGAGGCTTACTGGAACCGCAGACCTAACCCACTGTACAACAGGAACCGAAATCGTTGCGCTCTGCCACCCTTCCTCATAGACTTGAATTCTGGTGTAGGATGCGTCAGGATGTCGTCGGCTAGGTCTATTCTAACTGAGAACAACCGTCTCATGTACACTCAAATGGTGTCCGGTGCAACCACGCCGAGCCTCTTCCATGGATCCACGTACAGATTCAGATGGATGGGAGGCATGGGCGGTGGGACGTTAGAAGGAGCCCCGCATGGAACCGTGCATATTTTCACAGGGAATCCATATGCCAAGAATCCATACGATGATATGGGGAACTTGAACGTCGCCGCATTGGACCCGTTGTTCTATGCGCATCACGCCAACATTGACCGTCTATGGGAAGTCTGGAAAGGCATGGGAGGTCGGCGTAGGGACTTAACTGATCCCGATTACCTGAGGTCACAGTTCATTTTCTACGACGAGAACAAGAGGCTGGTTTCTGTCTCCGTCCGCCAAGTCTTGAGCCTGCGCAACTTGAGGTATGTAACACACACACACACACACACACACACACTAGTCATGTGAGGTCAAGCATTGAGCCAGCTCCAGATTCTGTCAAGTTTACCACCCGGACCTTCTCCTGAACCAATGTGTTTGGGAATTGCAGGTATGGTTATCAGAGAGTGGCCAACCCCTGGATGAATCCAAGAGCCTTTGGAATGGGAGTCATGAGCTCTGACGACATGGACATGTCAGGGGCGTCAATGGAAGCGGCGAAATGCTCAAGCCTGCAATATAGCGATGTATCGGCTCTGGTCAAAGCGAGCCCTTTATTGGAGAATTCCGGCAACGTTCTCTCCATCGAACCACTAACGTTCCGTGTGCGTAGACTGGACCCTACTGGCAGTTGGCAGGAAATCCTAGTGATCGAGAACATCGCCATCGACTGGACCCAGACCGCAAAAATTAACGCGTTCCTGTTCCATCCATCGGCGAGCGGTTCCAGCATCGACTGCATGGAGTTCTTCAGCACTTTTGCACACATCCCCGAGGCTCATCACAGGAAGAAGAAGGGATATACCAGGTCGTGGAAGCTGGGCCTCACGGAGAAACTGGTGCAATTAGGATTGTCCCAAGTGTCGCACGCAGTGATCACACTCGTGCAAGTTGGATCCGATCAGCAGATCAAGTTCGGCTCTGCTCGAATCCTGCTCGAGGATTAACAAAATTTTGATCGTCGCCGGCGGTGGCGCAGCCATTGATCAGTGCTCCCCAGCCCCCACCTTTCCTCCATTCTTTGCACAGTTGGAATTCAATTGTGCTTGTAGCCATATTCCAAAACTACCACAGAGATCAGAGTTTTGTTTGAAGTTTTGGCTGAAAACTTCATGTGTTTTTCTTATCATCGTTCTCATACCACCTTTTGTTATGTCGTCAATAAAGTTCTTCAAAAAATCAGTTTTTTTCCTCTTAAAGGATTTGAAGGTCAAAGTATTCACATTGTGTGTGTATAAATATGTATGTAAATAAATAAATAGGTTTTATGGAAGGAAGTACTAGCTACTACGTGATGTAGGTTTTTTGTTCTATTATCTGATACAAAGTAGTTCAAATTAATTTAACTGCTACTTGAATAATGTAGAAGTTCAAATTACGTGACTTGTTCTTGAACAATATTTTGAATGATTACGGTTGTTGGAATATTAGATGTAATATTGGTTTACCATCCACGCACACCAGTCAATCTTTTGTTTTTATTATGAAGTACTGTTTTATTTGGAACAATCTATCAAACTGATCTCTTGTTCAATATACAGTGCACGGGAAACAAACATGTTGTTTTGTTCTAATTTTATGGTGGAAATTGTTGTCTGATTATATTTGCATTTATTTTTGCTCTTGTTGTAGGAACTGTATCAGTATCTAATTTTGTAAGGTATATTTTGATTTTGCTCTACTTTGAAACTTTTTTTCGATATAGAGCTATTAGGTTGTATGTCGAATATCAAGTTGTATTGCTGGAAAAAAAAAAAAAAAAAAAAAAAAAAAAAAACTGATAAATTAAACTGAAAATAATTATTTTGGATTCATTATAATATTTATTTCTGTTTTTGTATTTTCTTCAAAATGTACTTCAATAGAAATTATAATAATATGAATTAATAAGATCTTTTTAATTTTTAATTTTTACTTAAATAAGCTGTTATGAAATAAAATAGATTGTTCTTCAAGTTGGACATAGGAATCTACAATTAAACATTGTACCAACAACCACATCAGAACTTCTTCAACAGGCAATACAATGTAAAGAAACTAAGAATTCATATATGTATATATATACATATATATATATATATATAAACCACGAGAAGATAAATCAGGGGCATTGAATAATAAATATAAGATTTATCTAAAGTTCACCTAATTTATATTTTCAAATATTTTCAAATTAAAGAAGAATTTTTTTATGTACAACAAAACAGAAATATAAATCTTTACAAATAAAAATTATAGAAGTTGAATTAAAATTTTGAGTTAGAACAGGAGTCACTCAAAGTTTTTATGTTGAAAAGATGAAAAACATTCATACAAAGATAAATAAAGTTCTTAGTACAACTTTTTTAATTTTTCGTTTTACTTGGAGTAAAATAAAATCTTTCATAAATATTTAACTAAATTAGCCTTTGCTTTTTTATGTTTGATATTTATGAAGAATATTTTTATGGTTTTGTCATGTTTTCATTAGTTCGTCTTAACTATCTCTTTTTTAACTTGTTCATTTTCTTTGTTCACAATATGTAACTTACATTCGATGTATGTGGGTTGGATTTAAAGTGTGTCAGTTTGTTGGTTTGACAACACAGAAGAGTAAATTTATTAATCGCTTGTCATTGAGATCAACACCTCTTTTGCTTCATCTAGTGTTGTTTGTTGAAGTTAATTTTTTTATTTGCACAGAGTATTAGAAGAACGTAAAGATAAATCATCTTTTACAAAACATAAGTGCCATGTCTAACAAATTTCCTTCAAGCCACCAAAATGGTAAGTAAGAGGCTGTCAAAAATATACTGTCTTTTTTAAAACTTTTATCATGATTATAGTAGTTAGTTTAGCTAATTTTGAATAGACCACAGATCTTTGTTTTTTTTTAAATATGTAAATAAAATATTAATATCACAAATCTAATACACTCCTAAAATAAAATTTTAATTCTCTGAGCAAATTCATGACCAATGATATTATAAGTTAGAGAACTAACCATTTTAGAAACACAATGATAAAAGGATAATACATATATGTAATTAAACATCTAAAAAATTTACTTTTCTTATTTCTTTTTTCTTTTGTATTATAATATTAAATCTGTAGAGTACAAAAATGCAACTTATAGTATAAGGATTATTTTCAAACTGCATTAATATATATATATATATATATATACATATACTTGTTGAGCCGTTTATGTAATCAAATTATTATTTTCTTTTATTATTTAATGATGTTCTTCTTCCTGTTATATTTTTTCATATATTAATAGACCAACTATCATTTCTGAAATTGTAAAACCATGTCTATGTAAACAAACAAAAAAGGAAAAAAAAAAAAATGTAAGAGGTGTAGACATGAAATATTATTGTTATGTGAGTGAAACTGTGGTTTTTTATATAGTACACAGGAATTATGTATTTAGCAAACCGAAAAATCTATTTTAGATTGTCAGGCGAGTATTTTGGCTTGAAAACTTTATAATAAAAGTTCTGTTGGACATGGTAGCCAATCCTGTTATAACAGCTTTCTGTCATGGTATAGTAAAGAATTTAAAAGGAAAATATTATGAATAATAAATATATAAATAAAGTATAAGCTTTGCAGTTTTTGTTGTGGAATATTTTTAATTCAATTTTCCAAAAGTGTTGAAGGTTTATGTCTACATCATGGCATCTCATTGAAGGAGCTTCATGTGTTAAAAAATTGCTTCAGATTGAGATCTAATGTTAGTACTTGAGAGGCATGTTAAGAGCATCTGGTGAATATATATATATATATATATATATGTGTGTGTGTGTGTGTGTGAAGATATTGTTAATGTTAATAGTTTTTGTTATTGCCTTCATGACCCACCACCAATTTGACATGTTTATTTAGAACTTTTTATTTCAATAAAAAAAAAAAAAAAAAAAAAAAAAAAAGATGTTAACATTTTTAATGATTTTTTCATTTTTGTTCAAATTATGTAAAACACAGATTTAGTTTCAATAAAATGTAATTAATAAGTTAATAAGAATTATGTTTTTACAAAAATCTGTGCAAGGAAAACCTATTTTCATTTTAAAATACTGAATACATAAAAATATAATTTTTATTTATTTATTTAACATTGACAAAGGGTGTAGGTGACATGTGGTGGCAGAATATTAATTGTGATGATATTAGCAATATCCTATATATGTATATATATATATATATATATATATATTCTCAACATTGTTTTGCAAGTTTGAACTAGATATCCTCAACATCGTTTTGAAAGTGCTTGACTTGAAGTTGCAAACAACATTGTGATAGGGTTAAAAACCTTTAAAATATTTATTTACATCTTCTGAACAGTATTCTAACAATTTTTATAAATTTTTCAAATGTAGAAATAAGAGCAATGATTTGAATAAGCTTAAAAATTGTTTTGGTCATTGAAATAGAAGATAGCATGTCTTTAAGAAAGGAAATAATATTGATTAAGATAGTTTGTATTTTTGACAGCTACTTTACAAGCATCATAAAAAACACATTTTAATGTTATGGTTGGCTTATTTGAAACATATGTACTCTTGTTTCAAGAGCACCGAAGTTGATGAATTAAACATCAATCTAATGCTTGTCTACTAAACTAATGGATTTTAGAATGACCGAAAATGTCCCAGGATAAGTTAAGTAATTTTATTCATGTCCACGAGTTTAGTCAATACAATGCCTTCTAATTTTAGGAATGTTGTTTCTAAGTGTGAAATTTTTAGTTTCTTCTGTATGACAAATTGTCATGAATAGTGGCTGGTTAATAGAAGAATAATGATTTTTATATATTTATCAGACCAGCTTCATGAAGAAGAGTGAAAACCATTTGTGAGCACTCCTTTCGACTTTCACAAATGGCTACTTCAAAACTAAGTCGAAAAATATTCTAGAAACGCATACCTTTCTTATACTGTAAGGCTACACTATGTGAGAACACTGTCGATAAACTCTGAGATATTGGCATTTTCCCATACATGCCAATCAATTCCCTTGTATTCAAAACAAATTCGTTGTTAATAGTCCAGGCACTTGCCAGATTTGTGAGAAACTGTAAGCATATTTTTTCAACCCTCATTGCCACGGAGATAAAATCCATGACTGGCGAAAGCAAAAGAGAAATAGTATAATCGATTACTTCCTGTCAGCAAGCGCATGAAGGGTTCGAAGCAAACTGAAAATAACAATTCTTTTTATAAAAGAATTTCACTCTTCCAAGGTTGCCCCGCTTGAAGAAGGGAACAAATTAGGATAACAAAAGAAACAATCAGGAAAACGTGGATTTTGCATGCATGGCAAATGTTCAATGTGTAACGGGTGATTCCATTCTTGGACATTCTCAATGGCAGCTGTAGTGAGGTTGATGCAGGCGAACTCATCGCAGCGCATCTCTATGAAAGAAACGTTTAATGAGAGCGTCGACATTCTCTGCGATTGCAACTAATAATTTGGACCTTTCTAAGACTTGGTTTTGTTTTGATCACTAATCATACCTTGCCTGAAAGAATGTGCAACGGTAACCGTGGCAATAGCTGTTCGTTCTGGTGAAGTGTGGTGAGTACTGTACCACGTGTAGTCTAAATATATATCCGATGTATGTTTTTCATCTTCAGTCTCTTCCGACACGTAGGACATTTCTTCTGTGACTTGATCGCACCTTGTATACAAACTCGACAAAAAATATGACCACACATGGTGGATGTTTCTTCCTTCATGGTATCCATACAGATAGGGCACTTGAGTTTATGCTCCTCTTCTTTCTCCAGAGCTGACGAGATTGGAGGGACCTCCTGGGATGATTCCAGCTGAGTAAGTTTTCGTTTTCTACTCTGAAAACACAAAAAAAGTTTGTAAGGTCAAAACGATATTTTAGTTCCCGTTTGCTTGCGAGGTAGATAACATGTGCATATCTTTTAATGCTTAAGTACATATAAAATTGATAAAGAGCATCAGACCCAAGTACCCGTATCAACTAAGCCAAAAATATTATAATACCTTACAAAGCTCAGACAGAAGCACACAGTCCTCATTTACCGCAGCTTGTCTCTCGGGAGAAGGCGTAGTTGTGAGATCTATAGTTTGCCTGACTAGTCGCCCACGGCGACCAGGACGAGGCTGCTGCTGAGTAGGACTGGACTGCCACACACTTTGGGTGCTATATTGTAACGTCCCTGCACCGTAAATTCAAATCAGCCACAATATGACCGTTATTGTTAGAGAAATATAAGACTGAGTATACACTCCGATGCAAGCATTATAAAACGTCTGGAGGACAAAGACAAGCACAATTGATTAGGAGAAAATTACCTCCAAGGCCAAGACGCAATTCCAAAGGATCCTCTTCCACTGGCACCCTTGATCGCGTTACTCTAACACTTGCTTTCAATTTAGCCTGTAGATCGATGACATTCAAAAAGGGCAATGAACCAATGGAGATTAGGCTCAATTCGCTAGCACTGTGCAGCCAAGTGACCAGCGACATTGGTCTCAGACACAACCCATATGTGAAGAAGATGTTTATATCAGGCTCACATTCGTAATGCAGAACTGTAAGTGCCTTCAAGCTTACGTGAGCTTCGCTGAACAACGCCAGGTTGACTTCACATATCAAGTCCACAGACAGCAATCAACACATATGCATTTGTCCTGACTTTTGAATTTGCAAGTCTGCAAACATAGAGAGAGAAATTGTGCCTGTGGGTGTGTGCGAGAGAGAGAGAGAGAGAGAGAGAGAGAGAGAGAGAGAGAGAGAATAGCACTCCCGTGGCGACTAACCAACGCAAGATAGAGACAATCATCTCGCCACACGAAGCGTATAACGACAACAAGGGAATCTCACGGATAGAACCTCGTCACGCACATGAGCAAAAGCGGCCGGAGATGACACAACAACGTCGTCGTCTTCGTCATCCACCATGACAACGGGCGTGGACGCCATACTACTGAACGCGCTGCTCACAGGGTGATGATTCTGAACCACTGCTTCACAAGTCGATGGTCGCGCATCTGATTCTCCAACGCGCACCCGGCTGCGCTTGTCCGCGTGCCCCATCTTCAACTCCCCGCTCACCATCACAATCACCACCCTCCCACCAATACCGTCCCACAACCTAAAATCCCCGCCCAAAACTCTCCACACAACAACTCAAACCCTCGCCACCACTTCACCAATCCCAAGCTCGTGACAACCTCTCCTTCAGCGACATACAGGCTCCGCCACACAAAACACCCCAACTCAGTCCACTCGCAATCGAATCATCCACCGATTCTCGAAGCGTCAAAAACCCACGTGAATCACCAACCCGGGTTCATCACTTCGACGACACTGGAGATCATCCTCTGCTAGGTCACACCTAAAGGATATCTATCCCACACAGTCCACACTATTTCACCCACTTGGAATTGGTTCTCGTAGCTTCACTCGGTTCTCCGTAGCTGGCTGGTTAGCTATGTAATGCCCGCTCTCGTCACAGACTCACAGCACAGCATCTCCCCCTGGGAACTGCAACAATCGCCTGATTCTCTCCTCCTCCGGTGGCGATGGTGACTCAGTTGCCGTGCGTGCGTGAAAAAGTGAGAGCTGGCGATGGCGATGCTGCGGCGGCGTCGTTCTCTCTGTCTGTGTGTCGGTGCCGGAAGCATCTGGATGGATGAACTGTTCGCGTTTCCTTTTTCATCTATATTTTGCTTTTTACTGGCTACTTTTTACGTTTTCGATTGGTGCTATATATTTTTAGGGTATATTTTAGGGTATTTTTAGGTACTATATATTTATGAGTATTTTTACGAGACTTGAAAAGAACTCTATAAAATGGGGAAAGTTGGGTATTCTTATGTGGCAATATAATATCATATCATAGAATAGTCACACTTCTTCTTTTTCTTTCTTCCTTTCGTTTATTTTATTTTTTTTTTGTTTTTTTTTTACTTTTTTTGGTGTTTTTTTTTATTTTTTTGGAGACACACATGGGGTTGTGGCTTCTATAGTTTGGCCTAAAATTGGTGTATCTTGATTTGAGTTATAAGATATTTAAAGTGATTAGATTTGTTGTTGAAAATGTCAAATTTTTGGTATTAAACAGTGCATATAATTTATTTGGAATAAATGTTTTCTTGCATACAGCAAAAAAATGGTATAGAATTTATAATAAAATATGTGATTGAGCACGATGTTAAAGATAATTTATATTCATCATTGTGTGGTATAATGTATTATTTGAAATTTAAAATAAAATAAAATAAAATAAAAGTTTCAAATAAGTTTACAATATCTATCTATCTATATATATATATATATATATATATAGTTCAACATACAAAAAAGAGTGTATATCACTAGTATTTATATTGATTTATACTAAATTTATGCCTTATTTAGAGGGAAATTTTAACTAAAATAAGAGAACTCTGTTTGTTTTGGTTTTATAATAAGAAGAATCACAAAATTGATGCTAGATTGAAGCAAATATTTTTTGTTGTAACTATTATTTAAGGTTGTGTGTGACCATAATTAAAAGCTTCAATAGTTAGTTACAATTCTTTTTGTAATTTTTAACATATTTTTACTAATTTTAATGCTAATATAACTAATTAATAGATCCAAATTAGTTTTTTTTAGTTAATTATGACCTTGATCATATCTTTAGGTTGTTAATTAGATGGATACTTCTAATTAGTAGATTGATTGACTATTTTAAAAACTCAAAAGAAAAAATAGTAAATTTAGAAGGTCTATGATTTCTTTTTTTTTTAATTACTTTAAATCTTTTTTTACTAATAAAACTACAATTTTAGTAGAATTTTTCTTCTAATTCTTAGGAATTATATCTTAAATTAATCCATAATCTTAATTTTCAATCCAAAAGCTAATTTCTAATTTGACTATGGTTAGAAAGTCCCTTAAACCTAATTTTTCTATCTTCTTAATTATTTTTGAAGATTTTTAAGCTTAAATTTCATTTTGTAATTTAATTGGATTAAAAATATAAAGTCTAATTGTTAAATTAATGATGATCTTAAAAAAATGGAGTCAAGCTAAATTTTTGGTGGAGTTTCCTTTCATAGTGATTTTAATCACTACTTGAAATTGAAAAAAAGAAAAAATTGGAAAATATCACAAATTCAAGGCCAATTTATAATTAGGTTTTGGATTTGCTAAGAGTTCATGCTTAAGGGAGTTTAAATTAAAGAATGGTGATTATGAGGGCTTTGATGGCAAGAACCCTTGTTGATTTCCAAGTAAGCTAATTAGAATTAGAATTGTAGTTGAAATTTACAACTAAATTAACAAATTAATTGATTCTTATGATTTAGAACTCAGATTTGGGCTTGTGAATAGTTCATCTAAGGGTAAATATATGTTTTAGAGACATTGGTGGTGTTAGTTTCACCAAAAACGTGTTAGTTTTTGAGTTCTAGGCATTTCTAGCCTTGAAATCGGATTTGGGTTGAGAGTTATTAAGGACCCTTGATTTTGGTTAGGGATTTTTTGATTTTGATGGTGGAGATGTGTCCGCCACTTTTGGGCCTCCTCCCACCTAGTTAAGAGGGCTTGGGTGACTAAGCTCCCTCTCTCTCTCTCCATCTTCTTGTGGCGAAGCCATGGCAAAATGTTCTCCCATCTTGTGAACGCAAATTTTCTTCTTTAAACTTGTATGGCCTCAGTTTTAACTTGCTCAGTCTATCTCTTTTTATTTTCTTTCTGTGAAACTTTGTAAGCAAATTCTACTCACCCTTAGCTTTTTAACGGCATAAGGCACTCCTAATTTGAAGTTGTGACAAATTTTTGGCGAGTTTTCAAGGTGGCAGGGGTCTACTGCCTTGGCAGTGTAGGAGTATTGGCTTAAAAATCTATAACTCTGTAACCTCTGACTCAACTTTGATGTGGATTGTTGAAATGAACGCATTCTAAATTTTAGTTTACTAAAAAACTTAAATAACTAATTCCCAATCTATATCAAATTTTTAATGAATTTTTAAATGCAAAGGGGTCTACTGCCTCGGCAGTGTTGAACAACCAGCTTTGAAAAACTTTATCTTAATACTTACTTACATTATTTTTCTGAATTTTTTTGGAAAAGGAACTCTACTAAGTGTGGTTTTAGGAAAAAAATATAATTGTCAAATTTAACCTATTAACTGATTTTTAGTGAATTTTTAAGTAGAAGAGGGTCTGTTGCTTAGGCAGCTCAAGTCGCCTTACTTTGAAAATACACATCTCGGGTGTCAAACCTCAAATCACCATGAAATTTGGTAGATAGAAGAAAATCTAAGTCAACCTCAACCACAAAAAATTTCAAGTGCATAGGAGCTGTGTGGAATTATTAGCAAATTTGTTAACGACAAGGGATCTGCTGCCTTCAACTTGACATACTCTAAGTAAGTTTTCCTTCCCTAATCACCCTCTAATCACATCCCTTAGCACCTAAATTGCTATATTATCACTCATTCGTCTTATTATCATTAATTAATGTTATTTAATAATTTCAAGGAACTTTTACCTCACTTGAAAATTAATCTTAAATTCTTATCTTTCCATCCATTCTTATCCTTAAGGATAAAATAAAATAAATAAAATAAAATAAAAATTAATTTAATCTTTTAGCTTTTTATCCAACTTTCATCTTTTATCTTAAAAAAAAAAAAAAAAAAAAAAAAAAAAATCTTAACATCATGTTAGTGCTGAACTTAAATATTTAAGGCTGTTTATTACTGAATTTCTAATTCTAGATGAAGTTTTGTCATAAAAACTTCATCCATAGATAACTTCCTATATAGAACTCCGATTTACATGATAAATACTACCCTTGGAAAGCCCTAGACTAGCATTCTAGCATGGTATTCATTTTATTTATTTTATTTTATTTTAATTCATAATTTTCAGAGTTTAAGTTTGATAGAATAAGTCTTGGAAGGCACTTAACTAAATGAACTACAAATGCTAAAAATTAAATCATAAAAAAGTGTAACTAACTTGTTGTGTTGTTGGATTAATCTTGATTATTACCTCATTTTGGTTCCTCTATCTTATAGATGATTTGCATCTCCATATCAATTAGTATTGGGCTATGATGTAAGTTATGATCTAATTAAATCAAATTTAAGTGAGGGGAGAAAAATCCACTCATATTGTGGATAAAATTATTTCTTATTAAAAAAATATAAAAAATTGATTATTAAATTGACAATAAAACTAAATTCCTAATTATTATGTAACTCTTTTTTAAAAGAACATTTAAATTTTTTTCCAGATTTAGTGTAATTTATAATACAAAAATTGTGTAAAATTTTAGTTTTTCAAAATGATTTAAATCAATTTTATTCTAACTAATAGCTATTATAATCCATACTCACAAATCAAAGATTTCTAATTTGAGAAATATTGGTCTATAATTCAAATAATTTCAACTTTTATTTTCATTGTATTAAATGCAAATGATACCATTGTAAGATGCATAAATATAGAAGTAGTAGTTGTGGCAGAAATTATTAATATTTCAAAAAAGAAAAATCTTCACCTGACTTTTAAATTATTAATTTTGGATAACTAATGATGCTTTGTGCTTCAAATTTAAGCTAAATGAATTCCACAAATGTTTGAACTGAATTTTGTGAATACACACTATCATAATAATTTTCAAGGAAGATCATGTATTGGTTTACAAAAACCAATGATATCATCAAAAGCAAGTGATGTAACCTCAATCAAATTGATAATTATTAATGAATTTAATTATCATAAATGGTTGAAGTGTTTAATCAATCACATTTGCAAAAATAAAAGTATAGCACACATGAAATATTATTAGTTTTCTGAAATCTATTTTTTTTCATGTATTGTTAACTCTTTACAATAAGGTTTTAAAGTTTGTTTAATACTGTTATGTTCCATTAAGGAAAACAATCTTTTCTTATAAACTGGTGATATAGAGCTTCTTTGCAAGTACAACATGACAATCATCTCTTAAATATGACATGAGTTTTTAAAAAGAAACACATGGCTTTCATATATTAATTATGAATGAAAATTAGGTGTAAACCATGACCAATTGTGCCAAAACATTTCTTAAAATTGGCACTTTAAAAACTTGTTTGTGAACTGACACTATTTTTTCAAATTTTATAAATTATTAATTTATCTATTTTTCGTTTTCATTTTTAAAATTTTAATCATATTTATTTGTAATGTTGATTATTGCATAATAAGTTTAAGAACATTTAGGACATAAATTCAAACATAATTCTAAGAAAATAGATACTATTGTATATAAGGATGAGGAAGAGAAAGAAAGGAAAATAAATTTATACATATATATATGTATATATATACTAGCTAGAAAAAAGACTATGTAGAAAAATTTTAAGAACTATGAATTCTTTAGACTATAAAAGTTCATTGTTTTCTTGTTTGTAAATTTGGTTTGATTTTATACATGTCTAAGGCTACAAACAAACATTACCATTGCTCAAACCAATTACACGTTCATTAATCTCATAGTTTATGTGTCAAGATGCTAATGATATTTCTAATCTTCTAACAACCATTTGCTTCCAAAGTTTTTCGAAATGCTCATAAATACTATATTTTTAGATTCTAAAAGGAACTCTAAAAAGGACTTTAAAATATATTTTTATATTTAAAAAAAATTGATTATACTATTTGTAAATAAAAATAGAAATTATGAATATTTTAATCCAATAAAATTTTAGTAAGATGTACTTTTTTATAATTTTTAAACATGTATATTATATATATTTTTTTTCTAGGTATTTATTACTTTCAAATACACCTCTAAATTATACGATTTTAAAATTTTCATAGTCAAAGAGTTTGAAGCTACTACTTGCATATTTTACCATTGAAGTTATTTTGATTTAATATAAATCTTTAATGTCTATCTATAAAATAAAATTAAGAAAATCATTTAAAAAAAGATGTACATGTATTATCTCTAGTAAATAAATTTGATATCCTTGTTATTGTTTTATTTTTTTATTTTTTATTTTTGATTAATTTTTTATTTTTATATCTCTTTCTATGAGTTAATTAAATATTTAATGATGTCACATTATCTTTTTGTAATCATAACTTATATAATGCAACTTTTTCAAAGTGTACTAAGATTTCATTAATTTTCAATTAGTTATCTAAATACACAAAAGTTGTAATTATTTTGTTTTGGATTAATTTTCTTGTCACTTTGAGTTTGATATTTTATAAAATAAAAATTATGATAATCTACCTATTTTTTAACTATGAGTCTAGATTATAATGTTCTACAAAAACCCAAAAAAAAAAAAAAAAAAAAAAAAAAAAAAAAAAAACTTAATACTAGTTTATAAAAGGTATTCTAACATACATAATAGCTTCAATTCCTTTAAAATAATATAAACTCATGCCCAATTTATAACACAACTTAGTCTTTTAAATATGAATAATATATATATATATATACACACAAATTTAATTCAACTTCTATGTTGTGTATTCTATTATTCTAAACCAACACATCTTTCAAATCTAAAAATCCAATTTAAAGGATTTTATTTTTAAAATTTTATTACTTTAATTTTAAGTTTTAAAAAAAAATTAAAGTTACATAATTTAGTCTTTCACGTCTATTTTATTAATTATTTCTATTCATACATATATGATAGTATATATTGTATCATATATATTTTTAAATTAAGTATTATGGCTTAAATTAATATATTTATATTTAATACTAGGATAGATAGTTATTACTTCTTTACTCTCAATAAATAAAATAAATTTAATGATTAATACTTTTATGATTTTTTTTAAAATATATATCATTTAAGTTTTTAAAATGATACTTAAGAATTTACATTACTACCATGTATATGTACATATATACAAATACATATAACTATATTTAGTAAATTTTAACTTTAAAATATATTAAAAAAATATCAATATTATATGTAGCAGATTTTGAATTGAAGAAGAAAAACAGTAATAATCCAACCGAATATACTGATTTATTTTATTGATATGTTTTAAAAAGATTGAATAATTTTTTTTAAATAAATAAATAAACATTGATGATATTATTGATACACGGAAAATGACAATAGTGAGGTACAAGTTTGTAATATATATACATTTTTTAAAAAAATTGTATTACTTCTATTATCTATAACAAAAGTTTTATAATTGATATTTAAGATTGATTATAATATGAGATTTTTAGTACTAAGATTATGTAAAATATTTTTGTATATTGTAGTCTTTTAATGTTAAATGGCTTGTGAAATTAAATAGAAAGCTTAAACTAGCTTATACTTCTCTTTTATTTATGAATTTAAGTTATTTTTTAATCATAGTAGATATTAGAAAAAAAATTATTCTAAAATTTTACTTTGTATAATTATATTTTTTAAAATTAATAATTCTAATGACATATGGTATTGTAAGTTGTTTCTTTTGTATATCTTTCTTTGATGATAATTTGAAGATAAAATCTCTATTTACAATAATTCGAATTATGGGCAAATTATTTTTGTTTATCTTCTGAAATTTATCATATTTATAAAAACAACTTAAATACGTCTTTACAAGGTCTTTTAGTATTATATGTTGTTTGATTTACCTTATCTTTTATTTCAAATACAACAAATTGAATAGATTGACATTTAGTACATAATGTTTAGTAGAGCTACTTATACTATAAATAACATTTAGTTACACTTTGTTGTCAAGTATTTTAAATCAAAATAATTGTAATTTAGTTTAAGAATGGATTGTCAATATTTTTGGCTATTGAGTTTATTACTTTCAAAATTTCTAGTATATATTATTATGAATCATATCCTACTAAAATTACTTTTTTTATATAAAAAAAGCTTCTTCATAGATTTGTCTTAATTTATTAAGTTTTTTAATACAAATTTCAACATACATGTATAATGTTATTATTACTATCTCTCTTTTTCTTTTTCTTTTTTAAAATCATGTAGAGTATTCATTTTTATATTAAAATCTATATACAAAAATAGTCATACTTATCCTTATGTAACTCCATTTTCTATCTTTTTATATGTACTACATCACTTAATCATAAAATTACAAATTGGAATAAAATCATCCACAATTTTCAGCATTTCACAATGCAAGTGATCATACACTTCCGTGAATGAAAGGGCAACAACCCTACAAGCTTGCCTTCGTTTGGAACAAAACTATTCTAAATCGTAACCAATAGCTATCCAAATCAACATAACTCAAAAACACAGGGCACATGCTTACGGAAATATTCAACGACACTCATACCACGAAGGAGATGCACACAAACACTTGGGAGCACACAGAGAGAGGGATATATATATATATATATATATACACACACACATATATTCAAGGTAATCTCGTCCAGAACTGGGAGGACGGAACAATAACAAACAATGACAATCTAATTAAGACTACTGATCAACTTCAAAAGAGTCGAGGTGGGCGAAAGGATCATTTTTCAACGTGAATATGGATTCAGATTGCGACTGTGCCTCACAGGAAGAAACGATGGAGCTGAAAAATCTTCCAGCAAAGCCTGCAAGTGAGTTCTGAGTTTTCATGTGCGACAGGATTGTTAGTCACTCGATGCGGAAATAGATCAACCTTACCCACAGCAACAGTGCTTCGGCATGTAAATAATATGTTCGCGAAGTGTTATGTAGGGACAAGATGGTAGAGGGAAGGAGGAGGTGGGAGTGCGTGATGGATGTGGGAGAATGGGGTAGTCCTGTTTAACATCACCTTGCAGAAGGTTGGCTGCGAAGGAGGACCATAGTGCTGAGTGAATCTTGCTGGGGAACCAGGAAAAATCGCATGGAGGCAGTGGATTGCAGCAGTGCAGTGAGCTGGTGAATGTGTGCCCAGCTATACCAACAGTTCGGCACCGATCTGCGTGTTGTCAGCATGAGTTACATGAGACAATTGGCGAATAAGTTGCAGGAAGACCGAGTTCCACAAAGACCCAGTAGTAGTTCTCTTGGGACACATTTCCAGCGCGTCTCAATGAGCCAGTTACCGTTCCACCACCTCGTGGTTCGGGGTCAAGGGGCACGGTTCTGTAATGAAGAGCTTGTAAATATTACAGCCTTCGATTGCGGCCAACAAGAGTAAGACATCACGCAACGCGACCATTTCCACAATCAGATACTAGAGCTTTTTCAAGAGGTGTAGAGGACATTGGCACGTGAAGGATTCGACGACAAAGAGCGTTCGCAGATTATTAGATAGAATATGGAACTAAAGGAAGATTACGCTTCCTCACAGAACTAGTTCAAAGTAATGCAACTGCAGTACATAGAGAACATTTTTCCACGTAAGAGATCATAAATTATAAGAGAGTATAACTTGGATTTATCATTATCGGTAACAATCACGCCAGCGGCTATCAAATTCGAACGATGCTTCGAATTGCGTACGTTGAGATCTTCCACGCTTTATCACACAAAACCAACTAAAACACGACATAGATCGACACAATCTTCACCAAACTGATCCGTCTTGGAGAATTATTCATTGTTATTCTTTTCGTAGATTGGGCATGAGGAAGGGGAAACATGACGCGAAAACATTTTCGCGAACTGTGAGAATCATATACGCAATCACCTCCAGCCCAACATGCCACAAGAGAGAAAACAAGTCTCACAAAGTCACATCTAGTCAGGCTTGAAGTTACAAAGCGTTACAAGCACGTCGACGTCTATATGAAAATCTGATTGCACGTGCGCAACTAATGGGGGAGGCTGAAGGCCATCCGTAGAAGCTTTTGTGTATACTTGTGGAAGTGTTTCGCCCACTGGCTGTCAAAGCTTCTACAAATTTGAAAGGCTGGTGCTTGACGTATACGTCAATGAGTTTCAATGTGTTTACCAGCGGACACCGTGAGAGACAGTCGCTCGAAACTCTCCGTAGGTGCGTGCTTCATATCGAGGAGGGCTCGATTTTTCTAAAAGCTCTGGTGCAGGCCTCACAAGCACTTTCGAGTTCGGCGCCAGTCCCATCGCAATAGAAATTCGATCGGTGGTTTTGTTTACAACGGCGCGGTGAGTAACGGCTGTATACCGGCCGTTGCTTGCAACCTGACAAAATAGCAGTCAAGTTCAGACATCTGGTGTCTTAAAATCTAGCTTCGCAAACATTAGCTTAACTACAAAGGAGGGCCAGCGTCAAACCTGAAGCTGTTCACCGACGAAGATGACAAGAGCATCAGGTTCAGGATCCACGGTAACCCATTTATCGCCATTCCTGACCTGGAGTCCTCGGGTCTGGTCTTCCAGAAGGGCCGTAAACACTACTGGATCTGTATGAGGCCTTAATCCCAGGACAAGCTCTGGCTGCGGACACGGTGGATAGTGATTCACACGAAGAGACTGTTCGAAATCTCCAAACAGGTCACGGAAGTAGGTTGGCACCAACCGGAGCTCCTTCGATACCACGTCCAGGAGTTTTTCCATGACCTTCTGTGACTCTCGAGCATAGCTGAGCATCGCATTCCTTCATGAATCCAACACATTTGTGTGCAATTAGCAACACATCGGCATTGCAGATTTCAAAACCGACGACCCGATGTGAACTTCTACATACAAAAAGTCTTGCAAAAGACGCATTGGATGTTGCAGCATACTTGTAATCTGGAGGATTGGCAGGCCAGTTCTTCAAATCTTCATGGAACATGACATCGCCCCAGTCCACCACCTTGTCCTTCGATTCCAAGGACTGGATGCCATTGTCGGATCCGTTTGACTCCGACGTCTCCTTCTCATACGATTGCTTCTCTTTTGAGGGCATTTCAAAAAAATCCCTGGCTGCTTTAAGCGCGGCGTCTAGTACTGGTTGAGGTATGTCGTGATTCACAACCTGCACACATTATTGCAACTTTTATGAGACCACGAAACAGTGACATTCAGGCTGACAACTTCGTGACTGCATAAGAATATTTCCTTCGAGTTACGTCTGTGCAGCAGTCTCGACGGACAATACTATAAAACACCAAAATGCCGAGCAGACAAAACGTACCAAAAGCTTATAAAGGTTACCGTAAACACTGCACATGGTTGACACTGTCAACTCCAAAACATAGCACACTTCTCTCACTCTCTCTTTTTCTTTTTCTTTTTCTTTTTTCTTTTTTTCTTTTTTTTTTTTTTTTTTCTCGCTTTTTTTTTCGTGTTTTTTCTCGTGTTTCTTTTTTTCTTTATTTCGGAAGATTTCTCAGAATTAGTTCAGGAGTTTATCATGCCTGAAAGCAGCCCCAGTGACGGCAAGCACTGGATATGGCGGCCATGGTGAACTGGCACCGGTAGTCATGCAAACCTTCAATGTCGATCATAGGAATGGGTTCCAGGGCCATGGAGTTGTGCGGACAGAAGCTGGCCAGCTCCGACTCTGTCCGAATAAACCTCGCAGGAACCGACTCCATTCCATCCCTTAGCAATCCTGTCACACTTAGATCCTCCGCAGGTGAGTCTTGCTCTGCTTTTGCTACAGTTCCAAGTGGTGTCCTGTTGCACTTATCACGAGTCGCCATTATACTTGTTAACAATGCTTGCACACTCGGATCCTCAGCAGCCGAATCCAGCCTTATTGTAGCAGCTAGTAGTGCCGGATTGTTCTTGTCACGAATCGCCTGGACAGAATCTCCTTCGTAACGTGTAAACCACTAGCTTGTAACTTGGATTCTCTGCGCCACAAGTTCTGCTGCTGTTTGTGGAATGTTAGACCATTACTAAGGGAATCTCGTAAAGACACCAATCAGAAGACGCTACGTGGATATTTGCACGAGGCGATGCCATGAGACGAAGGATTGGTGCGAAGCTCCGCACGGGGAGGAAATGAGCAAAACAAGTCCACACAACTTGAAAGTCTCCCTGCAATTCCGCAAACAGCACGCTTAGTCCCGAAGCAACTATCGAAGAGATACTTTGCCGGAAGTCAGATGATCAGCCTGGTGGAGGGTATTTCCGGCAATTCAGATGCAGAACACACCCCAGAGGGCTGAATCTTCACTGAAATCAGGTATCACTACGTACACCCAGTGTAGTTATACCTGTGCGTCACAGGCAGATGCATCTGAATTACACTCCCACTGACCAGGAAAAGAACTGAGAGCCTAACACTAAGCGATTTGCAGAATCGAGTAACAAGAGTTCCAACTCACCAACTCAACAGAAAAATAGATCTCTTCGCCTTTCTCCGGAGCAGAACTTCAAGAAGATGTGGTCAGACTCCTCAAGTGACAGAAAGTGGACCGGTGGAAGCACACATGCATGAGCGAATTCAAACCAGAATGTCACACAACCAGTCAAACCAGTTGTGCTAGGATTTCGAAGCAGGAAGCTCAACGAACAACTACCTGCAAACACACATCCATAAAATCGTCGATCAGTACCCGACGCGCTCTAAACGAAAGCTATTCGCCACTCGCATGATTCAATCCTAGCACGACGGCACACGTCAACAAACAAACACACACACACACCCTCCTACTACAACACATTCAAACAGACGTCAACACATTCAAACAGACGTCAACACAGCGCGACTCGTATTTTCTAATCAACCTTACCACAAAAAAAAATACAAAAAACCAAAAAAAAAAAAAAAAAAAAAAAAAAAAAAAAAAACCAACATTCCGCCTCGACACGGTCCAGCCACGAGAAGTACACCTTGCAATTCCCAGGAGGAGTGAACAAACAAAGCCAAGCGTTAAACTAGCAGCTACCGTACAACCAAACCTCAACACCGCCATGAAACTCAGAACGACGCAGCACAAAGCAACCCGATGGAGCAAAAGCCACTCGTCAGCTTACCTTTTTACCCTAAAAAAGTGCTCATCGCAGCTCGAATTCAGAATGTTTTCGATACCAGAAAATAATAAAATAATAAAACAATCAAATAAAAGGGAGAGGCGCGACAGCGCCATCCTTCATCAACGAATGCACGCAGGGTACAAGCAGCATTCACAGCTACGGACAAGAGCCCTACGGCTCAAAAAGGTTCCGCGGGGTAGGTTCCAGGCTTTGAGATTTCAAACTGACAGAGCAAAGGCTTTGTCACAATTACGGGCTGGGTGACATGGGGATCAGGCGGGTGTAGATTCATGACCCGCACATGCGAATCCCACCGTCGATTCCATTCGACGGCGGAGAATCGTGGCCCGTTCTCGGCTACGGCTGCGACGTGTCTTTCCCGGATAGATAATGCGCCGCGTGTCAGGGCGCTACGTGTCGATCGGCGCTTTTAGGGGAAGGAGAATATTTCATTCGTCCTCGGTCGTAGGGGGTTTAGAGAAACGGGGGAAAAAGTATATGTAAGCGCCTTTTTCTTTTTAGTTTGTTTCTTTAGTCGCATCGTGCTTTTAACTTTGGCTTTTTAGCGGTTCCGATTCGCTTGGATGAGATGAGAGATGGGGATGGGAATCTCTCCACCTTCACTTCGCCACTTTTTTTGTTATTTCATTTGCTAATTTACCTCTGCAACTGGTTGTGTCTTGCACAATCTTTTCTTGGAAAAATTGTAAAGGCCTTCATACAAAAAAAAAAAAAAGCATGCATTCAATCAATTTTTAAAGTTTCTAATATATGCTATAAATACAGGGGAATGTTAAATAGACCCAAGTTTTTACTAAATTGATCCACTCATCCTAATCATCGTGAAAAGTGAAAATGTCCTCTAGATTCATTTATCCACTGTTGGATCTGCAATCAATAAATACCAACCACATTCATCATGATTACCATATTCTTCATCAAAGGTGGGTCTATTTAAGAAAAACATGGGTCTGTTTAACATTCCTATATATATATATATATATGTATTTGATTATAAATAAACAAGTGTGTAGTATGTTTCAATGATGTATAAAATGATGTACATAGAAAGATTATTTTTTAATTCTTGTTATTACATTTTTATTTTATTTTATTTTTGTCAACACATTAGTAATATTAATATATGATATTTAAGCAAGTACCAAATTTTTTATTCTTAAATACTAAATAAAATTACATAACAAAAAATAATTAATTTTAAAAAAATATATCTGTACAAAGCAATTCAAGAATTAATTTCCTGAAAACATTGGTGCATGGTTTTTTATTTGAAAAATGTCACAAAATCAAATTATAAAATCAAATGGTTGTATAAAAAGAAGTCATAAATTATTGAACAAACATTATGTGTATATAATAATTACTTTCTTTGTGTTGGTTATTCTAAAGATTTAATTTTACAAGTAAAACAGATTTATTTCAAAACAAATTTACTAAATGCAATGTTTCTAAAAATAAAAATTCAACATTTGATGTTGAAATGATAATTTTCATTTGAATAAAATCTTTAGAACATGTATGTATATAAATACATATGAATGTATGTATGTATGTATGAATGTATGTATGTATACATACATACATTCAGGCACACACACACACATAAGAATGATTCATAATATTAAAGATAATACCTCTACATAAAATTTTCAACTGTAAGTTTTTAGTAGAGGTATTATCCTTAATATTACTACACAAGAAAAGAAAAGGTGTTCAGCTGAAGTTCGCTTTGATGAGGGGAACTTTGACAGCAGACCTGAATAAAAATGAAAACAAAAATCTGTCCAGAGGCGAATGTACATGACAACATTCTTTAGTTTTTAGTTTTAGTTTTTTTTTTTTTTTTTTTTTGAATACCTTTCATTTATTCCGAATCCACCAAATTTAGAAGATGCAGCAAGAGGTATCGACTGTGAAAAAGGGAAATGATAAATAAAAAAACGAAGATAAAGTAGAATGTTTTTCCACACACACTGTTGTCAAAAACTTTTACTTAATAAATCTCGGGTAGACCAGAATCGAAACCCCACGCCAGAAAGAATCTCGTTACAGGGTTGAGGAGAATGTTTTCCAGTTAACAGAAACTCAAAAAAATAAAAATAAATGGCAGAATCACAATCCTGTCCTTCGGATGAGTCCCGTTCGATTCAACATTCTCAACGTCGCGTATTTATGCAGAGAATCGTCGAAGATTTTACCTTCTTTGACATAACAATGTTTGTCACAAAAATAATTCGTGCATGTGACAATGCTGCACTTGCTCTAAAACGGCGGAAATCTGATTAGACGCCTCATTGGAACTGTTCCGAGTGAGGAAATTTTGCTGTCAAACCTGTTGATTCGTGCTTTATCGAGCTAGGTCACAAAACGGAAAGAAGTCAGCATACAATACCAATGACCCACAGCGTTCTACAATTCACAGCAAGCGTAAAAATCACTGAACACAAAGATTAACCCCGAACGGTAGGACACCACTACAGGTGATAGAACAAGTGAACAGTGTTCCATTCACAGAGAGTTGTTTTTATATAGCAAAAGTTACCCTTGTTCGGTGGATATCCTATTTATGTTTGGATCGATAACCAGGATTAAGTACCTAATAGTCTAATTGTTCAAGGTAGTTACGAAGTTGATGTCTATATCCTGGTAGGTTCTATCCGACGGGGCGTCGATCCAGCAGGTTTAATATGTTCAACTCAACAAAAGCAACAAGAACATCTAGTTCACCTGTTCTGGAGTTGAATTCCCCCTCACTTAGAATCCCTGTAATCTGCAGAAGAAAAAGAGGAGAATGCATAGACCCACCTGAGCACGTCAGTAAGAGTGCCCGAGGCGAGTTGAGAGTCGGATTAGCAGACCTTGGGCGCGCACAGGCAAGCGTTGCGACAGATCCAACCACACCCCGCAAATCGCCATAGCTAGGTCCCATCAAACCCCCGCAACTGCCCCCAGATTCTCACAATGCCAACACCCTCAAAATTCTATTCCACCAAACCACGCGTCCAAATGTATGCTGCAGAGCTCATTTGGTTCGACGACAATCTCTCCACCTCTTCTCCTTAGGTTCTCAATGCAACCCTCTTCTCAAACCGATACAAAATCGCATTTGCAATGGCCCAGGACCAGAAACCTCGTGACTTAGCTGAAATTACAAGCTTCTTCTCAGAATTATCGCATTTCACTCAACACGGGTACATGTACAGCAACTGTCTTCGAATTCTTTGTCCAATCTTCTTCATATGTGATTAAGGTAGGATTTGAAAGGTTCCTCAGACTGCCTGCTTCTCTCCACTGTGGCATCCAGAACTCCCCCGAACACAACCAAGACACGGGTGAGTTGTGCTGGAGAGATTCGCCGCCATTGACGACCCATCATCCTCCGCTTCCGTCTTTGACTCTTCCCCCTGTTTGCATTTGTACATCAAAGTGTTACGTCCTGATGAGGGAAAGTATGGTGTCCTATTGTATCAGCTTGTTTTCTCAGTTGTTTCGTCGAAATGAAAACTTCAGGTCATTGCCCTGTTGGCGAATGAAGTTTACACGATGGTTTCACGTGTTGCTGTAGATGGCTTCGAACGTTTGTACTTATTGAATCAATGATCTCTATCCAACAGCGATGCTTTTCCCAACGCTGTGAATTGGAAAGTGGAAAAAGAAGACTTCATGACTCTATTTTTCATTTCTACCCAAATTATCTAGCAGATTTTGAAAGTTTGCGAAAAGCGATTTCTAGTAACTTGACGGATAGAGGCAGATGCGTTGGGAAACCTTTTGTCCCAAAACTCTAAACTCTAGTAAAGCACGACGTCAATGCAGACTCTCTGTTCTGAACGGAATCTGCGCCATGCGTTGATAGATATCATGATTAATGGCGTTTTCTACGGTAGCGCTATGCAGATGTTCATGAAGTAGACTCAGGTTGCTACCTGGGGCGAGAAATGAAGCATATGAGAGACCGAACCACCAAAGAGGAACCTGCATGAATCCTTGCACTTGCCGCTTTCAACAGAATCCAAACAAAAAAGAACTTGAATGTATTATTGTTGCTGCAAATAAAGATTGAAGTGCGGACGATGAATCTGCATGTTAGTGGTTCTACACAGCCGAGCAAGTGTTGCGAAACACATTTTGATGCGTTGCCAATATTGTTTGGATCGTGTGACCTGCTGAGCGCTGTGGGTATCATATGGTGAATATCTAACACAATAGATGAAGGATGTAATTACAGAGTCTCCGCATGAAACATCAAACCAGAGTTCCCCTGTGAGGGTAAGTGGCTCCATGTATGAATGTGCTTAAGCTGAGCGAGAATACTCGCTTTGCACAGGTTTAAACAACAATATATATATATATATATATATATATAAATATTTGTTGCACAACATGAGTTTCTTACATTTGGAAGAGACAAATGGTTGGCTAGCTATCCGATCAGCATTGCTATTAATACAGTGCAATAAGGAAAAGCTGTGACCAATGTCTCTACCTTTTCCAAACAGTTGTTTGCTTCAAAGGGAAAACAGCAATCCGTGCAAGAAACTTTCGAAGAATATACACTCGGATGACGTAAAAAAAGGTTGATTCAAAGAGCATTTGACACCCATCGATGGATGCTGATTTGGGTGCAGACGGTGCCACAATTGTACCGGTAAAGTTTTCATAGTCTTTGGATAAAAAAATGAGGCATTTTTGTGTGGAAGAGGAATATTCGTTTAATTATTAGGGTTTGTTCAACAGAGGGATACATGTTTGTGTTGCAGTTTGACAAAACATTGTTGATCTATTTTAGTGCAAATCTTGGTTTTACTAAGTTGATCAATAAGCTCCGATAACAACATCAAAATATAACAATTTTTGACGATCAGTTTTTTAGTACTCAAATAATCTAATAATATTTCTAAGATTTATTTAATTATGTTATATATATATATATATATATATATATATATGTATAAAATATAAATTGGCATACTTGTAAAAACAATTCAAAGTAAAATAAAAGTTTTTTCAAGATGTTCATCAACATAATGTTTTAGGGTAGTTAACTTATTCTACAACAAGTTCTAAATTAGTTTAAATGATAGTTGAGTCCTTTCTTAAAGATTAATTGTGCAATCAAATGATTGTTATTTTAATAATAGATTACTACTTCTTTTTTTTAAATACAATTCAATATTTTCTTATATCTTATTCAAATCTATTTGCATTTTTTATTTAAATGAGGATTTGATGTTTTATAAATAATGAAATAGTTTTTTTCTTTTGTAAATTTAAAAAATACTCTCATTCCAATAAAAGGAGGCTTATTTTTTCAAATGAAAATATGCACTTTTGTTTTGATGTTTTTTTAAGGTAAGCCATAAAGAAATTTAAAACTAGAAAATATCCAATCAATTTGATGATTATATTTTTCAACCACAATAAGTCTAAAATAACAAGATCAATTATAGATTTTTCAATATTTAAGACTACTAAAACTTTTATGGCTTTTATATTTATTTTTATTAACAGATTATTATAAGAAATAAACATCCCAAAGAATAAACGTTATCTAAATACACCAGTTTGACTTTTGATGCTATAATATCATGTACTATTCAATAATTTTTTATCAAAAAATAAAAATAAAATAGATGCCCCAATATCTAACACAGCAATAGTAAAAGCTATAAGATTTTTAAATCCTATATTGATTTTTTTTGCAAAAAAGTATAAAGTATAAAAGATATTACAATAGAGTTTTACAATAATTTTAGAAGATGTTGTATAATGATTTTACAAGATGATGTAGTACAATAATTTTACATGATGTTGTACAAGAATCTAATCTCATGGCCCTTCATGTTGCTTTTGAATTTTTTTCGAATTTTTTTTGGGAATTGTACATGATATCCTAAAGGCTATTCTATTTTTAGAATATTATTTATAAAAATTTATTAATTCTCTGTAATATTGGCACATTTTTCCTTATAGATCTAATCTATCTGCAAGTTGGAATTCCAAAATACTACAAAATGGTGTAAGTGTGCATGACAGAGTAAAAACTAACAAATGTTTTTCTTAGGTTGAGTGTTTCTTAGTTGATATATCTACTTAACAAAAGTATTAGTATATAAGTTGCTTAGCTATGTATATACTTTCTACATAATCTATGCATTAGATATATATATATATATATATATATATATGTATATGTGTGTGTGTGTCTTAATTTTTGTTAAAAATAAATAGAGATATAAAACTTTTGGACCATAGATCTTCAAAATAGGGCTCTTCATATAGAGACTCTTTCAATTATGTACATTCTTCACAAGAAAATAGGTCCATTTAGCTTTATAGTTGATGGTAGCATCCTTCACCCCCCTAAATTTAGCATACCTTGCCAAATCGAAATCAAAGTCCTCTACATTCACACAGGGGAACAGTGACACCAGGATGGCGGGAAAAGTTCGCGGGAATCTCCACGTGGCACCAATGGTGTCAGTTCCTGCTCGTCCAGTCCACAAGCTTCACTGGAGAGGGTGAGCTAACCTGGCGTATTAGCTGGAAAAAGCGGGAAGAAGTTTCGAAGCCAGTCTCTTCAATGGCCGCTGCATCCTTCTAATCACCGTTTCCCGATTGATCGGCGCTTCTCGCAAAATTTGACCGCTGGGATTGTAAGACCCGACCCTGGCCTGGAGCACACACTCGTGAGGTACCGAAGAATTGGCGTTTTACGTGGCTGAGAGGCGATTACGGTGAAAGACGGGCGAAAGAGCCATTTTCGGATCGTCTTGTGTTCTCCGCCGCTGTCGATTTCTGGTTTTGCCGATGCCTGGAATGTTTGGTACAAAGTGGATAGGCGGAGTTTCGGATGTCTTGTTGGGGTTGGGAGCTAGAAGGTTGGTTTGGTAGATTGGGAGTGGGAGCGATTGAGCGCGAAACTGTAATTCATTCTGGGTCGGATACCTGTCGGTTAGGCCATGGGGTCCATGGTGGAGGAGAGGAATTTGGGCAAGGTTTTTGCTCCAAGTGAGACGCTCAATTGGGTCATGGTTGCTATGAAATTCTCGCAAAGGACAATCATTTTCAAGTATGGGGCAGTCAGCAGTGCTTTCTGGATTACAAAATTGCCTCTAAGTCTATTTTTTTACAATCTACAGTCGTCTCTTGATGTTGTAGTTGTGAGTGGTTCTTTGTGGTTGGCTTAGACATCTGATTTGTCTACGTGCTTGCAGGTAGAAGAGGTGTACAAGAGAGTTTGGTCTTTTTTCAATTGTTGAGGAATTTTTCTGCTGCGACGGGTTACCTTACTTAAACCAAACGTTATTTAGCAGCTTGTCTTTCTCGTGGTGTTCAATGGCATCCTTGAATACTCTACTTTGTTATTATAATATGTAGGTAATTTTGACATTTCCGTATCCGTGGGCATGCAAAAGCAATGCGGGATTTGCCTTCTTACTGGTGCAGTAATAGTCTGTGGTTATGCTGCTAGATTAGCGCCGAGTCTTGTCTCAGAACTTCTTGAACGGTACGAAAATATGGTGAATATGGGTTGGAAATGTTTGACATGATTTATGTTCGGGTTTGTGTATACACATATGCTTACATGCTGGCAGATTCGTGGCGAAGTGAGGGTTACGGTTTTGGTTCTGGCGATTGCCTGCAGAGCATGTTGGGCGTTTGACCGAAATTGGTTGGAAAGGCGTGTGGTTAGGATGGAGTGCAGATTGGTTTGAAGATGCTTTGCAAAAGGAACAGTGTCCTGCTCATGTCGAGAAGCCAGAAAAGGAGGATCCAGGTATGTGAGGATGCGTGAGAGTGGAATGATCAAGAGAAGGATAAATAGAGAGATAGCAAATTTGAAAATCATGGAGGGGGTTGTTCGAGCTGGCTTGCCCGAGTGGTCTAAGGGGGGCGACTTAAGATCGCCTATGCGTAGGCATGCGTGGGTTCAAACCCCACAGCCAGCAGGCATTACTGAGAACTTTTTGTTAGACGTCTTTCTTTGGCTGGGAAAAGAGACCTGGTCCTGCTTTTTTTTTTTCTTCGGAAGGGAACGCTCTCAATTAGTTTTTATCTCTTACAGTTGAATTATTCTGAAAGAGCTGTCAAGAACGTGTATTCCAGATCCAGATTTGTTTGCAAATCAACTGATATAGCATACGTCGGGACAAAGTATCAACTGAGGTCAATTACTAAAGATTTTCGAACACCACATGCATACATACATCCTCCGACGTGTGGTGCCAAGTACAGAAGTCGATTTATCTGTGACAACTCTTTAACAGTCTTGGAATATGCGTTTGAATTGTGAGTAAACTACATTTTTTGATAGTGACATTACACCAGACAAAACTATGCTGTGTCATGACCAGTCATCCGAGAACGTCGCTTGAAAGCATAGTAAACAGAACTTGTTTAGGGCTATAATTCCAGCAATATATTAAGTTTGTCCTGTTCTTCCGGCAAGAACAGAAAAACATTTAGAAAGAAGGAAGATGTTTAGTCCAACACCTCCACAGTATGAGCAAGTGAGCACTGTAGATCTGTAAATGTGTGTGCGTTCATAATGTGCAATAAGCCTGATCACAAATGGGTTGTCTACAGCATCTCTTCAGCAGATTTACACAGAAACTATGACACTAATGAGCCATTCTCATACTATCTTGCGGAAGAGCTTTGGTGCGGCCTGACAGTACCCACATACAAACCAACAATTAATTGTGGCTCTTGTTTAGATCACATTTACTTAAACCCAGAATCGAAAATCCATTCACTTAGTGACAGCCCCATAATAGTTCCAGGTAATACGTGCACCAATTCAAACCCTGGTTGAGTTCAGCAATCCATCCCAGTATGTTGGAATCCCGAAAACGGCATCCGGCACTTGCTTCATTCAATGTCTTAAAGCTTAAATCATGTGAAAGAGACTTATGCATTGTACAGACACTGTACAAAATGAAGATGGAAATGGTAGAACCACTTACACATTGATCAATGCAGCCCCAATAGTCGAAATACTGGCCAGTGCAATGCTTTTGACCATTCTCATCCTCCTCAATGCGCTTCACGCATGCCTGTCATACAGCATATCCATCAATACACTAACATACTGACGATCGTCGATTGCTCGTCATCAGTGCAATTCCATGAGGATTCACCTTATTGCTCCTGAATTCCTCCTCCTAAAACACGACTACCACTACTTGATTTGTCCACCAGGAAGTAGGCCCCTGATGGCGACCAATTACAATGCTACAAGCACAGAGACAAGGACAATTTCTTTTCCAGCCAACAGACATGTGAATCAAATCCCATACCTCATAAGATATAAGTTGCTTCACACATCTAGGCTTACACGAGTCCTCAATCTCGGGCTTTGGATCCATAGCCTCGACCACCTCCTCCTCAACTGAAGCCTCTTCCTCGTGTTCACAACCCCTGTTGTAACGCTCACAAACTCGCATAATCAGGTCATCAAAAATAGTAAGAAGTTGGTCCTCCTAAATCGACAGGACATAATCACACAGTGAAACTCGTTGTCCCATCTCAGAGTCCAATATGCTCAATAACACACGACCTATTTAGATTAGCATCTTCGCAAAAGCCCATAATCGTGAGAAAAAGGCAAGCAGAAAGAGAGCCGTCGGGCATAAGAAGTTAAACACTGCAGCTATTGCTTGCCAGCTCTATAATGTTTTTAACCCTGCAGAACCCACTTAGTGATTTGCACCTACATTCCGTAAAACCACTGAAGATTGCACAACAATGCAACCGACAGAGTGTTAAAGAAAACCAGAACAAGAGTCTAAAATGCCGCGACGACAATCAACAACCGAAAACTCGTGAGCAAAAAGATTCTTAAGCTCCTCACCTCAACGACCAAGCAAGAATGCACCTAACTCTGAACCCTGATCCCATAAACACGACCCCGACAAAATGTCATCACCCAAGCCATCTAAACATTTCTAAAAAACCACAATCAGCGGATCGGAGCCTTCAGGAAACACCATGACAAAAAGAGAAGGCAAACTCCACATTAAAACGTCAGCAAACGCCTAAGGATCGAAAATTTTGCAAAAGAAAACCAGAGCTCACATGATGCTTGACAATCTGTTGGGTTCACAAGCCCCGGAATGCAAGGAGGAGAGACAACTGGAATAACAGTTAGCAACAAGCGCCCCCGCTCACAAGGTCGGCGAAGAAGAGATGTGTCACAATCGTATGAGAGCCCAAAAACAATTGCATCAGTTGCTAAACTACGAGAATCTTTGCGGAACTGTTTGATGCCCACGAGAATTGACCCCCCGGGATTCTGATGGCGGAATGTTAGACGAAAAATCTTTCCGCCCTTCCACGTTGGACGAAAACTGGCCATCAGTAACGGTGAGTTGTGACTCGTTTGGGAACGATTGTGGACAACTAAATATTATTACTAAACATTAATTTGATAAGATTTACCTGCTGTAAAACTTGTAATGACATGTTCGAATTAAGTCTAATCCTTTTGTGATGAGCTTCACTCCTGCATTGTGAGTGATGAATCCATGAGACCAAGACCGTCATGCTTCTCATTTTCACAAGTTTCTGGTCAGGAGGGTCTTCCTTCATCGTCTCGCTGTGCCTGCTACTCCTGTGTTTTTTGGGGGTTTGTGAGAGAAATAGAATAGTGAAAAAAACAAGATAAAATAACAATGCTCAAATTGGTGCACACTTACACACAAGACCTGTGAAAGTCACTGGTATAGATACAAACGATATCGTAATCTAAGCCGGACACTGAGCCTTGAATCTAGGATCTCGTTTACCCTCTTCGATGAATGTCTACGTGGATGAAACGTACAGATGGATGTTCTAACAGTTTGTTAGGTCTGTCGTTCTATTGCAATATGCAACCAGTTTAGAATGCAGCGAAATGCGATGTGCTTGTGGAGTGTTTGTACAAGCAGGAGGGGAGAATGATGCAAATATGCATTTGATTGCGGAGCATCTACATTAAGATCAACCGTGTTTTTGCAGGGGGTTTTTGCGAAAGAATAAGTGACGAAAGCTCAAGCTACGCCCCAGATCCTGGCTCTGCTTACTATCAGATGACCCATACCTTCAAGTGGCCTTAAGAGTAAGACGGATTGTTCTGTAACATGCCGGTGCAAAAAGTGTCAGAGAGTTGTTGCACAGGACGTAAATGCTATCGAGCGCAGGATGGTGGTGGTGAGGAATCTGAATCCAGGGGTAAACGGAGAATGGCCGAAGAGCGACCAGTTTGTACGTCAAATAAATGTATTCAATTCAACGGATTTATTTTATTTTATTTGTCATTTTTAAATCTTAGGAGATATTATATCAAGATGCACTTCTTTGCACCCCTGAGTCTGAGACCGATACTTGACATTCGCAAATCTTGCCTAAGAGGGTGTGAAAATCGCTGCATTTACATCTGGTATCCTTGTTTATTAACACAGCACTTGGGAAGTGGATTAGGTTCCGAGTCGGATTTTGCTTCACCTTAGACATGTATATTCTTGGAACCGTCATAGAAATTCTCTCAAAACGGTTGAAAACATGGCTGTTCACACACTACGCCCGATTAATTCTGTTTCGACATTCCCTTTGAGCTCATCTTTGAGCATTGGTCTGCATGCAGGCATCTAAAGTTCTTTGGTGGTATTAATCATCAAGCCTTGCGGCGGATTCTATAATACCACTAACCTCGACGGTTGCACTGCTAGTGTGATAATTCTGACCAAGCACGATGCAACCTTCAATTCACCTGTATTGAGCTTCGTACCCGGGCACACACTAACGGCCTCCCTGAAGCTTTGATTGATCCCGAATGACTTGTTAGGTAGGTAAATTTCTAAGATGCTTAAGATGATATTTGCCTCAGCACTTTTTATGCAAATTTTCGATACATGGGCTGTATTTGTTTTTAATTTCTGTCAACTCCTCTGAAGCTGATGTTGCATGAATAGGATGAAGCAATTGAAATCTCGGTTATTTGCAATCACTGATACAGGTATTGAATGCTGCGTGGAACGCTGGCATCTCTATGGCTTGTGAGGATGCACTTGGTTGTTTTGACCATGAGAATGCTTAACTCGGGAAAATTCGTAATGACCGACGTTGGACTGCTTTCACCTACATCAGCGTCAACCGCGAACTCATGAAATTACACAATCTGAAAGGGTTTTCTCCAGTGAAGCTTTTGTATGGCAAACATTCACCTTTGAAATAGGTCCAGGTTTCTTACAAGATGATATCATTCTCGAGTGATGACTTTGCAAACATTTGTACACGGATCAATTCGAGATCTAAGCCTTGCACAAGAAGTTGTGCATGATTCAGCTTCATAGGTTACAGAGATAATTTCTAAGCTGGATCATCAGTTATTCAGCAAACAGCGTTATCATAATTCAGGATACGAGAATTATCATAATTCGGGATCAGATCAAAGTTGTCCCTTGGAAGTTGAGTGACTTGCAAAGACTTGTATCATTATTTGAACCAATGCCCTTGATAATTCATTTTATAATAATAAAGAAAACGCATTTCCACTAATTTGCTTTCACTGAAGCATGCATATTTTGGTTCATGTGTTCGAGATGCACATAACATCAAATATTAGAGTAACTACATTGTTAACTACGATGTGACGTAAATCCGCACATTCCATCAAATAACAAACAGTTTTAAAACGACCAGTAGAGGATGCTAATCATCTACCACAAAGAGAAGTAAAATATCCAATCTGTGACATATATGTTACATTCACAATACACACACACAAAACAATAATAGAGATCATAACCGTGCCAAGCCATTGTATTGTACAGAAAAAGATAGTTACAGAAAACGATTAAAAAAACTCTTCTAGCCTAATTCTGCAGCTCACCATCCAAGCTCAGCACGTAATGAAGACCTCTGCTTCTGCACAACTCGTAGAAGTCCCTCAAGCTGAATGAGGTCTATCTGCACGGGCTGACTGCGCGCATAATTCTTGCACACGTGTCTAGGAAAGTTGAAACAACCAGCCCACCCCAGCATAGAGAAGAAGGGCATCAACGTACTTTCAGGATGTCTTACTCCCAGCAACGTGTACACATCAATAGCTGCCGCATAAGTGAAGTTTCGGAGAGCATCCGTATAATATAAATAAGGAAAGACCTCGATAACGACGGCCCCTGGTCTTGCAAAGAGGAAGTTCACATTCTGGGAACCATGAGGAACCAGGAAAAAATCGTCCTCTGCCACACTTCGCACCTGGTCACAAAAACTGCCAATTCCACCGGATCTGTGCTCCACAGGTACTCCTAGAACCTCCTCCATCAACTTGCCAGCAGCGAGCTTGTTATCAAGCTTGCGAGATCCCGAGGCTCGGTCCAACACCACCGCTCTACTGATTGGCCACGAGGAATTTTTCTCTTCAATTCCACAATACCTCAGCACTTCAGTTCGCAGCAGAGCGTTTGTCTCCTTGTTAGGTACATACCTTGAATGTGTAGGAGGGGAGAAGAGCACGGCATCTTTGAAGCATATGGAGTCATCTTTATGCATGGGGAGCTCATGAAACCTAACCTTGTTTTGAAGACCAAATGCTTCTAAAAAGCCAATTCCCCAAACTGAGACATCTGCCTTGGAGGCAAACCACTGTAGAGAGGCAGATTGGTTGATGAATTGCTTGAGCAGTACCGCTGGAATAAGCTTCTCGGCCTCGTGGTGTGGATTGGGTTTCCCTGCAGGTAGAAAACGTTGATCGGCGACGAGACTAAGCCCCGATATCCAGTGCCAACCCTCATTGCACCCAGAGCCCCACTCTACCGGGACAGTGCGCTTCTCTCCAAAGAACCGGATAAACTTGGGCAAATCTGATCGTCTAGAGCCCCCGCAGATCCTGACCTTGTCAGTGGCGAAGCATATATTATCTACCCTGGAAAAGCATTCCGTGTTGCATTCTCCAGTGCAGTATTGGTGAGCATCGATGAATGGTTTAGTTGGACGAGAGCACGACTTGACTTGTGGAGCATTACTCCCATTCGGAAATGCGGAGTAGGCGCTGAAAGGAGACTTAGATGAAAGGAGGAACACAACATTCAGCAAAGCCAGGAATGTGAGACTTCCCCATACCAGTTGTCGACGATTTACGCGAAGCTCAACACTCCGTAAGAATCCTCGAGTTCCCACGATCCTTCTCGCCATCCATGCATACACCTCGCGCCCCACGTTGCCCCTGTCCGGTTTCGGCCTCTTGCTCGACCCCAGCAGATACATTTATATAGCCCGAGCATAAGTTCAAGCGCTATTAGTTTCTCTTAACTATCCTGAAACCCAATTTCACCACTTCCAACTGCTCCAGAATATCTCTAAACCTCACTGGACACAACTGAAGATCTAAGTGGGCACACTTCACAAAACCATTATACATTATTAATTAATTTTTTAAAAATAAAAATAAAAATAAAATCAAACCTCAATTAAACCCCATCCAGAGCATCCTCACAACGATTCAGCAACTCTGCTACCGAGAAGCAATTCCCATCAACAAATACTGAAAAATTCACAGCTGGTCATAGAAACGGATTGAAATTACAGCGTCCTTCCAATCCAACTCACTCATGCGACAAATTCCCCCTTTCTCTGCGTCCTCTTTAGTCATTCACTAATGTCGAAGACTGCAACAACAACAACAATAACACATACACTGCGTGAAAATTTCTATGAACCATCAGACAGTCTCCACAACCCTAAATTCAATTCCTCACATGAAACATGTAATCGTTTGAAGCGCCGGAGAAACCCTAGCGTAAAAATTGAACTGTGGGTTCTCATGGTTTTGCACTCTGTGTAGCATTCGTAGTTGTATGCATCCGAAACCGTAAAATCCGGCAGCGTCAATCAGGCTTCCACCAGAAATCTGGCAACGAAGACGACGCCGACAGTAAAGACTGGGAAGCAAAAAGGCGATGGAGATGAACAAATCCCTTTGAATGAATGCGCTTTCGTTGCCTTGGATGGAGATTGGTGATGTGGGTTTTCAAAGTGTTTGTTTAGGTGTAATTGCCAAGAGTGTCCATTGATTTTTGTTTGGTTTATAGTGATATAGTGATTTTGCCAATATATGAGGTGATTCAATCTTTCTTGAATTGTTTGGTAAGTCTTTTCTTGAGAGTGATGTTGGAAAGTATTCTTTGCATCTACTAGAGCCTATAAAAACAAACCAATAAACAAAAGTGTGGAAACAGATAAAAGTCTTGTATAAAAAGTGTAGCAAGAATTTATGGGTTTTTGAAAATGATTGTGGTTTGCAAAGTAAAAAGATGTGACTAAGTCTGGAGTTTTGATTTTCCTTTTCTAAATGGACTTGTTTTTTTGTTTTGTTTTTGTTTTTGTTTTTTATTATTTGTAATATATTAGAATAAAGAAAAACAAATGAAGTAAAATGTATAAGAAACTCTGTTGGTATATAAGCAACTCTTTTACAATATCAAGTTATTTTTATTTTTATTTTTCCATTTCTTTATATTTTTCCTTTATAATTGTATTTATTTATTTATTTTCAAATCGTTTAAAAATGAAAACTTCAAGAAAGTGATTTGACATAAACTTATAACCTTGAGGTTATAAGTTTTACTTCAAGAAAGTGATTATGAAACAATCATAATTAAAAATTCAAGAGAGTTGTAAAAAAGTGATTTTTTAATGATAACAAGTAAAGAATATAATAGATAATCAAAAAGTTGCACAATAGTGTGGAAAACATTAAGACCCAATTTTTTTTATTCTTATATTCTTATGCAATACTAACATGGTATTGTTTGCATGGTGGTATTATAAGTTTCAATGGCAATAAGTGATGTTGTCTAGGAGGTATTCTTATTTTTCTACTACTATTTAAAAAAAATATTTAAATTCTAAAAATAAATATATAGTATATACTATATATTTAGATAATAATTACACCAAGTTAAGCTATGCTATAAAATGACATAGTATTATGTTAATATCTTAAACAATTGTATCCTACAATAATAATATTATGATATTAAAAAATTAAAATTATGTTATATATTATATAATAAGTTTATTATATATATATATATATATATATATATATATTGATTGGTTCTTAGTTTTATGTACAAATAACTAGTATAGGATTAATGTTGTATGATAATTATAAAACCTAAGCAATAGCATTAGCAAAAGATACAATAAAAGCTAATGAAAGATAAATATAAAAAATTAAATATTTAGAGTTGAAAAATATAAAATTTTATTTATTAGAAGCTAATATACATACATATATATATATATATATATATATATATATATATATATATCTTACAAAATTTATACCTCTTAAATAATATTCCTTGCTTAATTGATAATATTTTCTAGAAACAAAGGTTGTTTCTAGGATATAAAATTATAACCTTGCATCTTACATAACTAATAAAAAAAACGTGAAATTTCATAAATTAAATAAAGAATAAGAAAAAATTCAAACAAAGAGTGGACGAAGGTGGATTGTTGGGAGACAATAGAAAATAATAGGACTCCAACCATAGATAGGTCAAAGGTTGGTGTATTGTCAATTGTGAAGATACAAGGCAGTAATTGTGTATTTTAACAAAGAACCATGGAAGTGGAGGATTATAAGATATGTATGAAGACTATAGATATCAACAAAGAACTTGTCTACATAGCTAAGTTGGTTTATAGCACCAAATTAAGGTATTCATCTAAAAGAGTGTAGGTTCAAATATTATAATGTAATTTGAACCTACACTCTTTTAGAAGAATACCTTAATTTGGTGCTATAAACTAACTTATTTGATGCAATTTGATGCAAGGAAACTTTATATAAAAGGCCAACCATATTATAGTTGGTAGATTTGTAATTTATTGTAATATGACTATAAGGTGATAGAGTATATGAAGACCAATAATTTATAAGTCTTTTATTAAAAATATAGTAGTAAATTATTTTAGAAATTATAAATATAAGAGAATTTTAGTATTGATTTTTTTTTAAAAGAACTTCTATCTAATTTGTAGATCCATAAATAAGAAAAGACAAGGTATATTAGTTATAAAACTATCATAGTTATTTTTGGATGAAATTAAAAGATAGTTTATTATAAAAATTATTAAATAAAATTAAGATAATATCTAAAAATGAAAAATTATGAACCAAGATCAAAACCAAATTCCAAGCCTTAAAACCATGTGTTAATAGTAAACACTTGGTTTTTTATGATTGATAAAAGAACAAAATTAGAATAAAATATTTAGAAGGATTTTTTGTATGTTGGTTTTAGGCAATTTGAATTTATATTATCTTTGTAAGAACTATACAAAGTTAAGGTTAGATTTAAATGACTTTGTTTTTGAAATATAAAATATAATTTATATTTTAGAAAATTTTATTAATTTTATAGTAGATCTATAGGTGAAATTTTATAGGTTTATATAAATTTCTATTCTAAATTTTTAACTTGAATTTTAGCTCAATTGGTTGGTTAAAATTATCGGTATTCAAGTAGGATAAAGTAACAATA